GCGAACGAGCCGCCTCCGCCTGTTCCCGGCCGAAACAGCCTCTGCACGACGCCGCGGCCAACCAGGCGCCGCCCTCTCCAGTCCCCCGCGCCTCCCCCTGCCTGCCTGCTGGGCCCGGGCCAGTCCCTTCCAGGAAGAGCAGAGGCGCGGCCAGCAGCGGCAGCAGCCCCCGAGCGCTCCCCGCAGGCGGCACCCGCGCCAGCCTTCCACGCAGGAGAGCGAGCGCGGCGCCCTCGGCGGTGAGTCTTCCACGGGGCCGGGCAGGACGCTTCCTGGGCTGCTGCTCTCCAGCCAGCGGGTCCCCCACCACGGCCCACGGTGGGAGGGGGGGGGAAGGAGGGAGAAGGGAAACGTGATCATGGGCAGTGTTCCCTCTAAGCTGAGTTAGAGTGAGCTAGCTCACCGTTTTTTATCCTCCAGCTCACACATTTTTGTCTCAGCTCAGGGCGGGATGGCTGCAGAACAAACTAATTAATGCAGGAGCCAAATGGCTCGCTCACAACTTTAATGCCAGCAGCTCACAAAGTAGAATGTTTGCTCACGAGACTCCACAGCTTAGAGGGAACATTGATCATGGGACTGGTTACAGGGCCGGATTTAGACTTGCCGGGGCCCTAAGCTCTACAGAACCCAGCGGCCCCGACTTGTTTTAAATTACATCCGCTGGTCTCAGGGGAAAATTTAAAATATAGAGGCCCTTTTTAATATTTGAAATCATTTTTTTTATATATTGTGCTCTTAGTTGGGGCCCCAGCAGATTGCGAGGCCCTAAGCTGTCGCTTCTCCTGCCACCCGAGCAGTTCGAAAGCAAGAAATTGCAAGTAGATCAATAGGGACCACTTCGGTGGGAAGGGAACAGCGTTCCGTGCGCCTCGGTGTTTAGTCATGCCGGCCACATGACCACGGAAACGTCTTCGGACAGCGCTGGCTCTTCGGCTTTGAAACGGAGATGAGCACCGCAACCCTAGAGTCGGACTCGACTGGCTTTCGAGCAAGGGAACCTTTAGCTTTAAGCTGTAGCTTATTTAGCTTATGTGTAAATCCGGCACTGGACTGGTTATGGTTGGATTTCGGGAAAAGGGTGCTAAGTAGATTTGAAGGGCTCGGCTGAGTGGCGCCTCTGGCCGTGTTGCTCGAACCTCTCGACGCTTTCGGTTCTTGCAGTCTGTTATGGCCACAGTGGTTGTGCCCGGGGGTCGGTAGATTGCGTGTTCCATAAAGGACGGCAAAACCGACCTCTGCAATTAACATTTAAGATGGGCCTCGTTTTGCAGGCTGAAGTGTATTAAAGTGGGTACTGGATCTGATTGTGCAGGCTGTTGTTTTGTATTTTTCTTGCCCCCTTCCTGTGCATTTTAATCCCTGTTTTAAACATGTCTGATTTAGCCATAATAACTCCTTTCCTATGGGATTTACTTCCAAGCTGGCACATTGATTTACTTACTTCATTTAGACCTTGCCTTTTCTCCCCAATGGAAACCCAAAGCGAGTGACACCTTTTGGGGAGGGGCCGTGGCTCAGTGGCAGAGCATCTGCTCGGCATGCGGAAGGTCCCAGGTTCAGTCCCCGGCATCTCCTCTTAAAAGATCTGGCAGTACACACACACACACACAATACCTTTATTGGCATGAAAGCACAAAACATCTTGGAAATACGAGAAAACACGATCTGGCAGGAGGTGATGTGAAAAGCCCTTTTCTGCCTGAGACCTTGGAGAGCGGCTGCCAGTCTGCGTAGACAAGACTGACTGGGATGGACCAAACATTCATCAAAGTATTCGTATTCTCTCCTCCGTTTTATCCTTACAACAATCCTGTGAGGTCATTTAGGTTGGGAGCAGGTGACTGGCCCAACTTCACCCAGCGAGCCTCCACGGCAGAGTGGGGATTCAACCCTAGTTCCTTCTAATCCTAGTCCAGCACTCTGACCACAACAGACAGTGCAATCTTACTAGGAATACAGAAGTCGAAAACAAGTGGGAACCTGCAAGGACTTGTGGGGGGCATGTTATTCCCTCCCCACTCCACTGTTTCCTCTTTTCCTTCCCTGAAAGCCCGCACAGTCTTTTCCTGCTCTCTTCGCCTTCCCACCCACCAGCCAGCCTATGTTTCTGCCCCCTGTCTTCAGCTTTCCCTTCTTCCCTGTCCAGGAAAACTACGGTTCATTTGCATGATGGGGAACCCGCAAGGACGTGGAAGGGAGACCTTGCCACCTACAGCTCCCTCCCTGCACTGTTTCCTCTTTCCATCCTCTTGGCAACCTTTCCCTGGTTTCTTCCCTCCTTGCCACACTTCAGCCAGCCTGTCTTTTATCTGTTCTGCCATCTTCAGTTGGGATGTAGGAGGCCTAGAATGTAGGGGAAATGATTCAGCAGTAGAAATCTTTTGCAATCAGTGTCCAGCTGGTTGTATCTTTGACGTTGTTCTGCTTCTCTTTCCCCCCCTATCCTGCCTGACTGTTCCTTTGCATCAACTACTGTCCTCTCCAAGCACAAGGACATCTGTGCTGGCACTACAAAATAAGAACAAATTGAGCAATGTGTGCAAGATGAAGCAATCTGCTGGAATGGCTTGTCTTGATGGTTCTGTATTTGATTAGGGGGGGAAACATTTCCCTGCCCTTCCAATAGTTCTGAGTAGTTCACAACAACAATAACCCAAATAAACAATCCATTTCAAAGAGCTCTGAACAGAAAAGTAGAAGAAACTTGAAAGAATCAGGCTGCAATTACATCCATGCCCTCTCAAATATTACAGATCTGTCATAAGTCTTCTTAAAGGATGGGAGGGAGGGATTTTCACTGGTTGAGAAGGACATTGGGTGTACTTGTTTCCATGGAGTTAAATTGATTTATTACCTCTGCTTTTATGGCTCCTGGCCTGCAGGAACCTGAAACCTGATTCTTCTGTTCTTTTTTGCCTGCCAGAAGATCCACCATGTGCTGTCATGACATGGTCTTGAAATTATGGCTTGAAATATCTGCTTTGTTTCTCTTTTTTATTTTGTAATATCTGGCCTGATGAAGAGTTCTGGTGAACTCAAAACCTTGCAAACTGTTGCACACAGCAGCTGTGGGGAAGGACTTCAAAAGGAAGGAGAGCCCAAATGGGCTCGGAGTGATCCTGGCATTCCCTCTTCCCATCACACGACTCTGATGTATCCCCCCCACCCCACCCCCACGCCCTGCTTTTCCCCTGATAACTGGGCATCTAACCTCTGTTTCCTCCAGAAATGGCTGCTATGGTAACAGAATGTGGAAATGTGAGGATCATCACCCAACTCATCCAGCAGAAAGACCCGCAGGGAGCAGAGGTGCTCAGTGAGTCGGGGTCGACTTCCATGTCCTCACAGCTCACACCAGCCCAGCCCAAAACCTTCGCAAATACACTGCCCAAGGCACTGGGGGTAAGTAAGGCCTTTGTAAATGTTTCAATGTTACTAGGTCCAAATACTGTCGTATTGCAGGGATGCAGCAGGTCTCACGCTATAGTGAGAGACCTCCCAGCATCCCAGGGCGTTGTGCTGGTGGGAAGAAATGGGGGAGGAAGGAGCATGTGCCAGTCTTGTGGTGGTTCCAGTAAAACCAGAAATTACACAGTGGAAACTCTACAAAATCTCTGTGTTGAAACCACAGAGGTCTTGTACATTCTAAAGCATCTAGTGGCATCACTTCCAGTATAGATCAGAACGGATGCCAGCATGTGCCAGCACAACACCAGCACATTAGGGCCCCCCCCCATTTCTCTGTCTTGCGGGATTTCTTTTTTTGGGAGGGGGGGGAGTAGAGCAACTATTGGGAATGAAAGCTGACAGCTGGGAAAAACCAGAACTCTGACAGGGTCCTTAACTGCTTTCAAGACTCTTCCTCACACTGAATGATCAGATGGCGCCTCCTGCCCTCCAAGTCGTCGAGTTCCAGTGGTGGTTCATAGTATTGAGAAGAGTATCTGACTGGGTTTCGCAACATTTGGAAAGAGAGCCACCAGGACTGTTCATAATCTAGACCTTTCTGTGTAAACTGTTTCCAACCTTTTCCCCCCCCTAAAGGAAAAGTATATTACTGCTGTTTTACCTCTTAGCCTTAACATTGATCAGAATAAACCCTGACTTTTGATGACAGCTGTTGTGATATAGTAGAGGATCAGAGCTGTCTCATCCACTAGGCATACCTAGGAGGTCACCTAGAGCACCAGTGTGTCCATGAGCTGTAGGTGCACCAAGCCCACAGCATTGCAGGATCATTAGCCATGGCCTGCAGCTGTCCTGGGTGGTGCCATGCTGAAGCGTCCAGGTGGCAGAGGGGGCCTTCTCCGGCCACCAGGTCCAGCGTCATCTGGCAGCATGGCACCTGGCAAGCAGTGGCCCTAGTTGCCACCCCCAGACTGATGCACCCAGATGGCAGCCAAGGTCTTTTCCTGTTGCCTGGGCCAGGATCAAGCGTCATGGCAGCCCAGCAGACAGCCCCAGGAACTGTTGTGCTGATGCGCTTGTGTGGTGGGCAGTGTTAAATCAGTTCTCAACACCGTTCACTTCAAAGAAAGTTTAGTTTATTGAGACGTTGATAGATACCATACCTGACTAAAAAAATACACTGCCATCCATGTCATGGTCTTAATGGGCAGATCCGGCTTCTGTAGCTCTCCTACTATACACAAAACTTGGAATGGGAAAGATACCGACTTCTCAGGCATCAGGAGGATAATAAACATAATCTCTAGACTAAAAACAATGATCACCACTGAAAAATTTGAAGCAAAAAGATGAGTGTTCTGGTAAGTATTTCTCTGTGGCGGGTAAAATGATAGTGCAGAGAGACCCTTGCAGATGGATGACAGTGATGAAGATTCAGTACAAGCCAAGAGCAGCTAACAAGTTTAGCTTCGGTGGTTATGATGGCAAAAGTGATGTCATTGGCGACAGGAAGAGTATGGCAGAGAGGAGATGGTTGTAGTAGTGATGACTGTGATAAGATGCAGCCATATGAGAAAGATGGCAGCTGGTGTTCAGGTAATGGAACTATTGCTGATGAAAACAAAATAGTAAGCAAGATGAGGAGGAAGTTAGTGTGGGCGACAACGACAATGGTACAGATGCACCCAAACACCCAAGAATACTGATTCAGAACCTCTTTTTGCTCTCTTTCCAGGTTGTACAGATTGTTTTGGGGGCTACACAGATTAGTTTTGGCATTGCCCTGACAGTAGCACAAGAAGACTTGAAGAAACTCACTGTGAAAAGCGGGGTCTACTTCTGGATTGGAATCTTGGTAAACAATATCTGCCTTGAAGAAACTCAGGAGTTCGTCCACCATTTCCCATAAGCAAGCAGGCCTCGAAGGAATTTCTGTGGGGATCTGTCTGGGTTCAAGCACAGCTACTGGGGCCTGTAGCTGAGTCATGAGGACAACCCTTAAGCAAGGCAACCAGCACAGCTGCCTAGCTAGTCCCTGCTTAGGTGTTTATTCTGCTGCAGATGCAGAGAACTTGCATGTTCTTCAGATCTGGCAATGTGCTTGTTTAGTGTGCACCTCTTACTCCTTGAAGATGATCTCTGATATGCTTCAGATGTTACTCAGCTCATGTAGTGCATCTTGACCCACTGTGAGGAAAGCTCTGATTGGAATGAATTTGGTGGTGGGGATGTCATGAGCACCTGTGCACTTTCAGTCCCGGTCACACGGGCTGTAAAATGCGGGGGGGGGGGGGCGGGGCAGTTTGGCCTGGAGCAAAATAACGCGCAGCAGGCCCGATCACACATCCCATCGAGGTCCCGTGGGTGGGGGTGAGGTGGTGAATAACGCGCAGCAGGCCCGCGCGGCAAAGAAGCGGTGCGGCGCGATCTCACCAACGGCATGTGCAATTCTGCGGAGCAACGGAACTTTTGCTATCCTCTTCATGCGCATGCATGGTTGGGTGCTTGTGCGCATCCCGTGGAGACTTGGGAAAAAAACCTGTTTGCGACGGGACATGGGCTGGTGCCAGATGCCATGGACTACCACCGGAAAGGCGATCAGACGCCCGCCCTTGCCCCGCGGTTTCCGGAAACTAGTACCTCGGAGGTACTAGTTTTTTACGCCGCATCTTCGGCGGGAAGCCTCGGGTTCGCCACGGGAGCTCTATGCTTCCCAGATCTTGCGGTGTGATCGCGCCCGGGAAATCTGCCTATCATCCATCTCCGTAGGGTGGCTAATGCTCCGTGTGACCGCAGCCTTCATCTCTTGTGAGCCTCTCAGCAGCCTGACTCGTGATGGTGCATGCTTTAGGCTGTGTGGGTGCATCCCTTACCCAAGACCCTGCACAGGTTTCCCTCCCACAGAATCTGTTTCAGAATCTGTTTTTCATAGCATGGCTAGCAACTCCTGAGCGGAAGGAAAAGCAACCTGATGATTGTTCTTCATTTTTCTTTTCTTGGGTAGCTCCTGCTCTCTGGGGCCTTGTTGGTGGAAATGGAGAAACGAGACCATGCACTGCTGGTAAATATTCTCCCAAGTATTTCTTCAAATTAAAGCCAAAATAGGTATGATATGGATGTAGCCAGAGCTGGTGGCAATATTTGCTCAGGGCATATGCCGGATTGTGCATCTGTACAGAGAAAATGAATTGTTTGGGGGACTTAGCAGCAAAACCATTAAGGTCAGGAGAAGAGGTAGAGTCCAATAAAGCTAGTTATTATAATGGAGGCAAAAGTCAGAAAAATCAGATGGGGAAAAGTGCATTTACGATGGCAGTATAAACAGGCTTATGGGCTGAGGCTGGGCAGCAGGCATATTTTCATAGGATAACACAGATTAATAATTCACTAGTGAATTTCTGGTCTTGGATTTTAACATGCTCCAGATAGGCAGATCATGAGAAGGGAAGGCAGGAAGGGTTGCCTCTGTGCTTAGTACTTGTGGCCCTTTCTTACGTGCCCAGGGAAAAGCTGATCACCACTTTGGGGTCAGGAAGCAATTTTTCTCCAGGCCAGTTTGGCTGGAGATCCTGGAGGGTTTTTTTGTCACCTTCTGGGCATGGAACAGGGGTCACTGTGTGTGTGAGAGGGGGGGGCAGGTATTTGTGAATTTCCTGCATTGGGCAGGGGGTTGGACTAGATGGCCCTGGAGGTCCCTTCCAACTCTATGATTCTGTGATTCTAGTTAAGCAGCCCGTTAAGCAGGACTGCTGAGCAGACACCTGCAGATTTTGCCAGTCAAGAGTGTACAAGTCAAGGGAGGGTGCTCTCCATCCATCCCTCTTTGTAGTCTGTGTGGTACTTCTGCACTGCCAACAAATCAGGGCTGTAAGATGTGAGAGCTTTTGAAAGGTCTGGAGGTAATATAATAGTCACGGTTGCTCCCATACATTCATTTTTCCTGGTCAAACATGGTTGTGCGGTTTTGAAGCACTACAAAAACTTACTTGACCGGAGATTGTACAAGGACTGAAAATGTGCATTTGCACTTTGGGCAATGATTGTTCAGTCACTGTTGTGTGCACACAGTGCAGCAGCACTCCTTGCCTGCTGCAAGGGACAAGAGGAGGAACGGGCCCAGCTCAGTCCTCAGCCTCCTTCACCACCATCCTTGCTGGCCTGCTTGGCGTCACTCAGCTGGAGCTTCCATCTCAGATCCAGGGATCTAAAGGGGGGAAAATCTAACCGGCAGTTGGCATAAATGTCTGCACTGTTGGAATTACCTGTCACATTTGGCTACTTTACCCAAATATATAAATATTGTACAGAATTCAGCCACTGTGAATGCTGCTCTTGCCACCAACAGTGAGTGGCTGCTATTTGGCTATCTGTGCAATCCACAGTCTAGCCATTGCTTGGAAAGGACGAGTTTCTTTTTTTTAATTGACAGAGTTTGGACGACAGAGGAGGTAGGAGGGATCACTGAGGGGACACCAGATAAAACAAACAAGTCCTCACCTGCTGGCTGAAGGTGGAAACGTGTAAGGGGACGTGTAAGGAAAATATCGCTGGGGAGAGAGTTCTGGAGTTCCATAAAAAAAAGGGGGTGTCATGCATGCATGGTAAAATGCACCTGGATTAATTATGCAGAAAGCATCTTGAAAACATGGAGCAAATCACTGTGTCATGTGTAAGATGAGAACAATTGTTCTTTCATTCCTATTTAAACTGTGAAAACATACCAGGAAAAACAACAGTCATGATATCCTTACGTCAGTTTTAGGTTCATATTTCCTAACTAGTTGTCTTGGTGTGCTTGCTATAGGGGAGACTCTGTTTGCTTGTCAACTTGCTGGTCAGTGGGGCTTCCGTAGTAGCAGTAATTCTCCATGGTACTGAGATTGGAGAAGAGACTGTAAAAGACAACATCTGTGGTGGCAGTGGCGAATATTATTGCTCCAGTGCTAAACAGGTATTTCTTTATTCTTCCTATGCATGTGGCAGCAATTCCTGACTTGCTTCAAACGATCTCATTGATCTAGGGCTCAAGGCATTCAGAAACATTCAAAGCTATTTTATGTCCAAATGAATGCAGAAAATAGTTAATATATGTTGAAAATATTCCACTCCATTATCATTTATACCATGTCAGTGGCCAGATATCAAAGGAACACAAAGGTGCACAATTCCAAAGGTGCTGAGATATTTTTTCCCTGTTTCAATGTTTAAGAATGAATATTAGGTACCTTCATGAAAGAGGTAGAAATAAGAGCAGCGAAGACTCTAAGCTGAGTTAGTGTGAGCCAGCTCACAGTTTTTTAGCCTCCGGCTCACACATTTTTGTCTTTGCTCAGGAAGGATGGCTCCAGAGCACACTCATTGATGCAGTGGCCAAATATCTCGCTCACAACTTTCATGCCAGGAGCTCACAAAGGAGAACTTTTCCTCACAAGACTCCACAGCTTAGAGGGAACATTGGGAAGAGTATCCAAAGTAAACTGAGATTCTCATGTCTGTTTACTGCAGAAAAAGTGAATCATACTAAGAACGGCCAATTCAAACCTGATCAAAGTATTCTGCTACAAATGAGCTGTGATGTTAATGGTTCTTTGGGGTTGAATGTCCCTCCCTCATCTTCCTACAAGAAATTTATATTAACAGTGAGTCCAGTTTACACATGCTGTCCCCAGAGTTTTAGTTAAATGGGGTAAGAAAGGGAAGAAAAGAACTTGATCTGAGGACTTGATTAGGGATGGGCATGAACTGGGGAAATGTGGTTCAGTTCGGGGTTCATGGCATGCCCAGTTTGCACACAATGAACCATCACAAACTTTTAGCAGTCAAACAAATGGATTTGATTTGTGAGGTTCGTGGTTCACTAGAATGGCTCCCCAGCATGCTAGAGACACCAAACTTGCAGGGAATCTGTGGCTGACTCTCCTTTGCCTGCCGTCCAAGTTTGGTGAGGATTGGATTTACGGGGTCTGAGTTATGCCCCCCCCAAGAAGGTGCCTGTGCAAGCGAAAGACATCAAAGTTGTGGGGGACCTCCCCCAGATACTCCTCTACATGTCCTCTGGGTTCCACTCCCTCTGTTGCTTTGAAGTTGTGTAAACATTTAAACTGAGCAGAGACAGTGTCTGGAGATGTATCTGTTCATGAGCCAGCACGAACCTCCACAAAAGCTAGAAAATTTGTGCCAGTTGACCTGCCACAAACTTCACTTTGTGAACCATGAACTGGCCAAAATTCATCTCGAACTATAGTCCATGAGCTGGTTCATGCCCATCCCTAGAGCTGATGCTCATTTGTAATCTCCCTAGAAAGGTTTGTTTTAGGATCTTCCTAAACTACCTGTCTTAACGAAAAGTTTTAGAGAATCCAAGCTTTGGAGCTAAGCCAAACTTCAGCAGTTGTTGGGCTTCATCTCCAAGACCTTCTTGAAGGACCACAGTTGTCCATACCTCTGCCTCTTGGCAGGTTTCTTGTATGTTCTTCAAAAGCCTTCACATCACATTCAAGATATTAAAGCCAACAGATCACAGGACTGAACTGTTCTGAAATGTTGACTGTTGTATTCCCCAGCTGTGGTTTAGGGCATTCCTTCTGAAATTATGGTCAGACAGTGCAATTCCATACGGCTGGGTCAGTGATAACCCACATGATTGTTCCTTCCCTTTGCTCGCAGGTGCTTGTGTATGGCATGAACTCAGTGTTCATCATCCTTTCACTGCTGGAACTGGCAATCTCTCTCACTGCTGTGGTGGTTGTCTTCAAGTCTACAAGACAGCAGTCCTATAGACAGATGGTGAGGATGGAACCCCACTTTTTTTGCCTTGCATACTTGCTATTGCTGTGGTGTATCCAGCCCTAAATACCACCCTTCCTCACCCATCCATCCAATCAAAACCATTATGTAGAAAGACAATCACAGGCTTGGTTGCATATTAGCTCCAAAAATGCTCCCTCTCCTCCTCTGGCTTTAACAGTATGGCTAGAAGTTATGTCCTGCTTCCATGAAAGATGTCATTTTGGTTTCAGAGTTGCAGTTACTCTGATACCTTTGTTGCCTCTTCAGTGGTCATCACTGTTCTTCCCTGTACGCGTTTATTAGAAGGGTAAAGCTTGTAGATCACTTCTGTTTGAGAGCCAGTTTGGTGTAGTGGTTAAGTGCATGGACTCTAATCTGGGAGAACCGGGTTTGATTCCCCACTCCTCCTCCACATGCACCTGGCTGGCTGACCTTGGGCAAGCCGTAGTTCTGACAAGAGCTGTTCTTGAAAAAGAGCAGTTTCTGTCAAGAGCTCTCTCAGCCCCACCCACCTCACAGGGTGTCTGTTGTGGGGAAGGGAAGGGAAAGGAGTTTGTAAGCCGCTCTGAGACTCCTTCGGGTAGTGAAGGGCCGAAGGGTATAAATCCAATCTCTTCTCTTCTTCTTTGTGTTCTGATGTATTTTTTCCAGGCATCAAGATAGAAAAGAGGCTTCTCTCCACTCTCTCTGTTGCACCACTTGCAGACGCACTGAGCACAGACCTAAAGGTTTTCCTTGCCTGTCAGCTGTGAACTTCTTACAGAGTCATCACCTTTCCCAGGTGGACCCCAGTCATCAAAAGAAGAAACCATTTCTGCATTCTGATGTTTTGCTGTCCAGAGAAGAAAAACCCTATGCCAGTTTGCTCTGCAAACTCTCCTTCATCGGAAGGGCCATTCAGTAATACCAGAGCCTTCCTCTATACTTCTGTACAATATCAAGAGAGTATACTTTCTATACCTTCAAAGGCTCATTTTTGAGCTCTCCTGCCTGTCTCTGGGAGATAACTAACCATGTTCTCCTTTGTTGTAGCGAGGGTATGTATGTTTAAGGGACAGAGGGCAGTGAATGACCAAACAGTCCCTGGATTTTTCTGGACTTTTTCCAACAGCACTTTCACTCATGGAAGTGTTTTGAAAGGATCTTTGTAGTGGAATATACCCAAGACAAATTTCATTGAAATGGGAAGTCCCTGTGAATTTTTCAGGAAAAAAAATATGGAGTAAGAGCCAGTCAGTAAACTAGTAGCTTGCTTGTGGATCTTTCTGAAAAAATCAGTGTGGGTTTTTCAACATTTGCATTGTTTTCCATGTTTATTCCTCCATCAGAAGAATTCTCAGGGAAAGTGCTGCATCAGTGCCTACTGCTTTTTCTAACCAGAGGATAAAGATACATTACAAAATCTCCCTGCATGCATACACCCACCAAAGACCCTTCATGTTGAAGCTTGCCCCAATACTCTAGACAAAACAATGTTTGATGTTCAGATGGGTTTGTACACTTACTGTGTCACCACTTCTTATAAGGGACACTGAACTATACCACTTAGATAACCACCCATCTGCTTGCAATAATTCATGAGAGGGGAGAGTCTGACAGCAGATAACTCCAGCCTACTTCTAATGTTACTTGGAGATAGGTGGGAATTGCTTCACAGAGGTACCCAAAAGATTGTGGGTTGGATCCAAAGGTGCCTTCTGCTCACACAACAGTGAGCCATTCTCGGACTCCTTGGATTCCTACTTGAGAAGCAATCCCCTATATGGCATCTCTTCATGAGGGTCCCCTGACCCTTAGGAGCAGATTCTTGAGTGGTGTGGTGGGTTGCAGAAAACAGGGGGGAGTTGGAAGAGATCTGTTCCACAGGTGGAAGTCCTGCTTGCCATTCTTAAGACTAAACCCAATGAGAATAAATGCTGTAAGAAAAATGTTAATGTTATGCACATTCGGAGGCAGAGAGGCTGATGTCTCCTTAAATGATTTTGTTGCACTAAAGAAGCAGGGAAGGAGCATGAATAGAATATATACAAGATACAGGAAAATTAATCGCTAATGTTCTATGTTCAGCAAAAAGCCAAGACATACTGCTCAAGGTGAATGTGAATAATGTGAATAATTCAATAGTGGATGTTCCATTTAATGGAAATCAAATAAGCTTTCAGGAACTTGATACAGTATGTTAAAGGTGTGATAGTATGCAGTATTAATTCCCCATGATAATAGAAATAAGGAAAGATTGTAAGCCAATCCGTGCATTCAGCAGAATCAAGTCAGTTTTGGATTCAGCAAAATCAAGTGTCTTCTAAATAGTATCACTTCATGCAAGGGTGAGACTATATGCATGAATGTTCTCCCATGGGAAAAATCCCCACATGTAGAAAAGCAGTATGTCAGGGAGAAGTCTAGGCTGCACTCGTCTTCACTGCTTGCTAGTTTTATATGGGCAAGAAGGTTTTTAGAAGGCAGAACATTAAAGAAGACAGTTCCCCTTTTGCATTCTCTAGTAGTACATTCCAGGAAGAGCTATACCAGATTTCTGCTAACTGCACAGATTGGCCCATATATCAGAATTGGCTTTCAGTAAAACATAGCATGAGAACTACTGCTACAAGAAATGTTTCTTGATTATCTGATTCCTTTTTTTTTTGCATCACTTTAGCGAGAACCCAGTTGACTGCAGAATGTTCACTCTGTTAGTGTCTGTTAACTAGGCTTCAAGTATTTTGAGAACTTTGTCTTAAGGCTGCATCTGCCAAACAGACACTGGTTTATGTACCATGAGAATCTTCGTCATTTAGGGTGCAGAACACTAATATGGAACCTTTCTGGAGTTTGTCTTTAAGAACTCAAGAGATCTTTCAGCAGGTTTCTTTTGGGGGAACCATGCCTGAAATTACTGTTGTAATTAATAACTTCAGAAGGATTATTACACATGCCTATTCATGTGTATGGGTATGATCTAGGCAACTGTACTGTTGTGTTTTAAGAGGCTGAATTGTGCATCAGTATTTCTCTGGTTCCAGTCTCATCTTTGCTATGAACTCACTGGGTAGATTTATGCAGGTCATATTTTAGCGATATTATTGGCAATCTGGGCAATGACTCTACTTAGTTTTGGACAGATATAAAATATTTGAAAATTTTGAAGCCAATGGTATAAATTTGTTCCCGGGGGGTGGGGGATTTGGGGACAACTGAAATATATGCAATACTTTCTTTTTATCAAAACTAAGCTTGCTTTACAGCTTTAACTACATAAAATCCATAATTTGTAACAGAATATAAATTGTCTTTTTAACGGATTTATGGAATTTAGTATAAATAGTTTTTTATAGGCAAAATTTTGACTACTTGAGAGAGAAATAATTAAAAACTGCTGCATCCTATACTTCCTAGGACACATATCTTAGGTTTTATCATATGAGAAAGGAAAACAAATTTCAGAAACGAAATGTGGTATTCGGATGGAAAGAGTCTTGAACATAAACATGCAGCATATTTTGATATCAAGTTCAGATTTATAACATGGAAACCACAAAGCTTCAACAGTATTACCATACTCATTACCATACTCATTATAGCATATTAATTCTGTACAAAATAAGTCACATTTAAACAACATATATTTGAAAATGTTTTGTATCTGTCTTATACATGGGAATTGGTACCTGTAGATCAGGGGTGGCCACAAACTTGCTTAATGTAACAGCCACAGAGAATAAACTTCAGATGTTTGAGAGCCACAAGACATGAACAAATGTTACACAAACATTTTTATTGAAAAATATGCAAATTTGCTTTTTATGAACATTAAATTAAACTGGGTGAAAGAGCCACATGTGGCTCCCAAACTGCAGTTCGGCCACCCCTGCTGTAGATTGTCTCTATATTTGGAGAGAGAAAAATTAAGTCCCTGGGGGAACACCCCCCCCCCCCAAATTGCATATCTGTCGTTTTGGATGATATGAATAGTGTTAGGGTCAGTTCAGATATAACAGCCCACCATTGTTTTCAAAGGGTGTTACGGACTAGGCCATAGCCTATTACTTTTTCATTTTTTACATAGCTGAGAGAGTCTCCTGTAAAGGAAAATTGCAAGAAAAGAAGCAGTTGCTGCATTTATAACCTAGTACATAAATGTGAGCAATCGTACTAACTTTATTAGAATTACACATCACAGAAAGCAAGTGTCTTAAACCACTGCGCTAGTGTTGCACAGATTAGTGTATCATTAGCATGGTGTATTCAATGGAATCTCTTTGTGCCTGGCTTGAATCAACTTTCCTGTTTTTATATAGTATCGCTGGCTTGACTGAGGGTTATACAGCTCCTTCCAGCCATGTGTCTTCTGTATTCCAATTAAAATATATTGGTCACTCTACATGTAAAGTTGTACATTACTAATTTCATCTGGCATGAAACGGCTGGTTCCAAAGTTTTCCTATGTGCCTATACCTGTGTTGGTTCTGCTGCTTCCTGCATAACAAACCAGTAAATAGATTTATAGTGAAAAACAGTACCATAGAACTACAACAGTGTATTTAGCATAGCATTCTGAACCCACTTTATTTTCTTTATAGTGTAACACTGGAATAAAAATAATTTCTGTACTATTGCCAGAATTCTGTATCAAACTGGTATTCCAGTGATCTCATTAAGAGAGTCCACATATAGGGTAGAATCCGAACAGTTTTTCCACTAGTGGAAAAGGGAGGAGGGGGTCCACTTTGGCCATCAAATACACTATGTTTGTAATCATGGGACCTGCATGGATGAAAGCCCTGTGATATGGAGTGTAATAAGGAAGGGAATTGGCCAAGATTGAATGAAAAGGCTGCCTGGATCCATAAACAAGAAATATAAAAATGTTTTGCTAGGTTTTAGTTTTTCCCAGATATTATTACATGGAGTGTAATTACATGGGGGGGGCAACAGTGGGAGGGCGTCTAGTGTCTTGGCCCCACTGCTGGACCTCCTGATTGGCCACTGTGACAGAGTGTTGGATCAGATGGGCCATTGGCCTGATCCAACATTGGCTTCTCTTATGTTCTTACTAGCCTGATACCCGTGCTTCGCTACGGTATTTAACTTCCGTAAATCCAGTTATAATACTGATGATGTAAAGTTTGAAATGTAACATTTGTTGTAGGAATTCTAATAGAGAAGATTGTAGTGTAAAAAATGAAGTGAGACATAGGTACTTCTTTTTTCTCTACTGAAGGACCTCTCTGTAGACTGCTGGGGCGAACTCCCTCATGGCTTTAAGCAACTGCTACTGCACCTGACAGACAACCGCCTGTTAGGTGTAGGAGGTGGGGGGAGTGTGTTGGAAGCCATCAGAGAGGCTGGGCCAGCAGCATCGCTAAGGTGATCCTGCTGGAGCGGCATCCATGATGGATTAAAGTACCCTGGTAGAACCCACATATGCCTGCCCACCAGACGTCATTTCGGGGGGGAACGCAGTTCCCCCGGGTGAGGTGCAGGGGGGCTGGGCACATGATGAAGCCCCGCCCCCTGCTTCCGGCTGCCCTGCTTCCGGCCCTCATTCAGCCAGGAGGAGGCAGGAGAAGAGGGAGGGTAAGTTGCTTCCTCCCCGCCTCTCCCCACCCCTGCCTGCCTGGGGCCAGGGAGGGCCTTGGCGGGGCTTCCTCGCACTCCCGCTGGCCTTGCAGGTCCACTGCCGGGCCCCTGATGTCAGGGGGTGTGGCATATGCTAATGAGTTCCCCTCGCTCTTTTTCTACAAAATGACCCCTGCTGCCCACAAGAGCTCATATGACTGGGGAAAAAGCTTCCTTAGTCCTAAAGGTGCCTGACTGGACTCCAACTTGGTTCACCTGGTGGTAGCCCTAGTCAAGGGTCATTTCCTGCAGGAGCACACAGGAGTGGCGCTTGGGCAGTAAGGAGCACGTGCAACAAGCCCCACCCTCTGCTCCCAGCAGCCCTCAGTCAGAGCAAGAGCCAGGTAAGTTGCAGAGCCCCCCCCCCCCCGTCCCAAACAGCTAGCCATCCAAAAGAGTCCAGTGGAGCCCGAGCGGTGGGTGTTGCCTTCTGACACACTTCCGGGTGATGCCAGGGGGTGTGGCATATGCAAATGAGTTATGCTAATGAGCCCCTGCACCTCTTTTCCTAGGAAATGACCCCTGGCCCTAGTCTAGCAAAAAGCATGCAAGGGACGCCTCCCGCTGCAGCAAAGGGGATGCTAGCTAAACCCCCCCCCCCTTCCAAACGCCTTCTAGCCCAAAGCCCACGGGGGATTGTACATACAGGCGAGGGGTCCGGCGTTGGTTTTCGCGCAGCCCTCCCAAGGCCGCGAGGAGGAGGTAGAGGCGCCGCCCCCGTCGCTCTAGGCGCTCACGAGCGTCGCTGCACGATGACGTCAGGACCGCGACGGTGGGCGCGTCCTCCTGCGCCACTTCGC